TAGGCCCCCCCCCAAAGCGATTTTTACTTAGCTGTTTACTAATAGCTGCTCATATCAAAAACGAACCCCCCGAAAGTCAACGGGGCTTTGCGTCAAGATGGCCAGGGCAAGGGCTATAGAAGTCAGACACTATGAGTGGTATACATCTCATAGGGGCCTTATTCTTACATGCCTCAAAGGAAATTCGTATGGAGATTAGAGCCATGGGGCCTCGCAGCGAAAGGGTTGGGTGGTTCTCTGGTCTACTGATGTCTACTGGTTTCATACTGTTTTCATGCTTCCGAGGGGCATATACGTATATGGGTCGTAGGGTGTCAAGGAACGCCGAACAGCGAAAGGGAAGCAATGATATTCCAGGCTCCTTTCTATGCTTGGACCAAGGGAGTGCCATGGGCCGACGCGCTTAGAATAATAGTAAGAGCCATCGAAAGCGCGTCGCCGAAGGCGAAAGCACTTCCCAAACACAGGGCTAGGCCGCGATCCAGTGCATTGGTCTAGGTCGGAAATTCGCTTGCAGGCTGCTGTGAGACAATTTGTGACCGTGAACGTGAATATGAGGTTGCTCATGGCGCAAGCATGCAGGGCTCTACACACAAACGTCGCTACCCTTGTCAGAGAAGTTGGCCAAATGCCCGCCAAACAGACAATAAGCGTCCACGCTGCAAGAAGCACGCCTGAGCTCGGAGAGTTTGTGACTGAAACCAGAGCAGCGCACATCAAACTGCAAAATGATTGGATGTCTGAACGCAGTACATGTACTGCTGTCCTTCAGAACACTGAAAGCTCAAAGCGCTGCCACTGGGGTCTGATATCCTAGAACTCGAACATTATGTGGTATGCGACGCGGACGTCGAAATCAGACACATACAACGTATGTGCATCAGATGCGCTGCGCACAGGCACCAAAGAGAGTCTCAAGCACACGCATGATCACGCATGGCTACCTTAAGTATGATCTTACAAAGGCACTCGGGTAAAGACTCGGGCCGAAGCATTCCCAAATTTTACATTCAGAACTCAATTTCTAACAATCAAAAGCTTGTGTAGAAACACTGTGGCGCTGTGGGCAGCCCCGCAAGAGGGAGGTCAAAAAAAAGGCAGAGACGAGTGGGGAGGAGCCTGTGCAGAGGCGGGATGTGCACACAAAGTCATACAGCACTGGCTGGATCTTGCAGGGCGATGCACGAGAATTTTTTATGGAGAATCCAATGAGCTGTTGTTTTTTCTCCCGCACGTCTTTCGTTACTGTGTTGGCGACAACTTGGGATCAATCCAAAAAATGTGCGCCTGACTGGCACGGAAGGACGTGGAAGGTTCATGCAAGTGCTTGGAAGGGGATGGCTTCGCGGAAGGTGC